ACCCGGCGGCCCCCAGCACGCGCCGTTCGCGCCGCCGCCGCTCGTGCCTATCCCCGGGGGTGCGGCGCCCCCTCCCGGCGGCGCCCCCCGCAAGCTGGGCAGCCAGGCTGGAGAGGCGGCTAAGGTGTTTGGTGGCTTCCAGGTGGTACCGGCTCCTGATGGCCAGTTTGCCTTTCTCATCCCCAACGGGGCCTTCGCACACAGCGGCCCCGTCATCCCCGTCTACACCAGCAACAGCGGGACCTCTGTAGGCCCCAATGCGGTGTCGCCTTCCAGTGGCCCCTCTCTCACGGCGGACTCCATGTGGAGGCCGTGGCGGAACTGAGGGGCTCAGGCTACCCCTCCCCCTAAACTCCCCAACCCACCTCTCTTCCCCCTGGACTCTAAACATCTAAACAGGAATTTGGATACTGAGAGAGAAGAGAACTTTTATGATTAAGTGGTTACTTTGTTTTTTGTTAATTTCTAAAAAGTTACTTTTTTGTAGAGAGCTGTATTAAGTGACTGACCATGCACTATATTTGTATATATTTTATATGTTCATATTGGATTGCGCCTTTGTATTATAAAAGTTCAGATGACATTTCGTTTTTTACACGAGATTTCTTTTTTATGTGATGCCAAAGATGTTTGAAAATGCTCTTAAAATATCTTCCTTTGGGGAAGTTTATTTGAGAAAATATAATAAAAGAAAAAAGAATGAAGGTGTTTATGTCTTAGAACTGATTATTTCCGAATATGTAAAAAAAGGCTCTTGGTGGAATTTGAATTACATGTAATCTGGGAATTCAGGAATTGGCTCTTTTGTTATTAAAAGAACAACATTTTTTTTTCATTATTATTAAAAGAACAACACTTTAAAAAATCCAAACCTTTCACCAGCTCTCCACGACCTAAAAAGACTAAATTCCGTTTAGTTTACAACGACCCATTTGATATGGCTTCCTTTATAAACTTGTGGTCAATCTCTTAAAAGATTTCATTTTTTTTTTAAGTTGCAATTGGATAAGTCATTAAGTCCTTGTTCTGTTAGCTCCTTAATGGATCCAGTCCTCTTGCGCATTGCACAGTAAGGACAGCTCCTGCAGCACTACTCCCAGGAGATAGCTCACCACCATCCAAAGTAAAAACATTCTTAACTGCTGCAGCCTCCTGCCTTTAAGAGTTGGGGTCTTCATTAATGAGTCAATACCTAGGTGCAGCTAGACATTGCATAGCACCAGCATGCAAAAGTTTGAAATGCCTCTGCACCCTCTTCTAGCAAGCTAAAAAGGTCAACAGATTCCTTCTGCCAAGGGACAGCTAGTTCGACTCCCAAGTGGAGCCCGAGCCCAGATGATTAACACCAGACATGTGTTTTTGATAAGTTTCTGTGCTTGGCTCTAATAGAGAAAGCATGTGGGGGCTGTGCTGGCAGGCACACAGGCCATCTTCCCCTTTTAATACAAACAGCAAGCGACCCCTTCGCTTGGTCATGCCCCATTTCCAGGCAAGATGTGGGCTCCAGATAGAAGCAAAAGGGTTGTCTCGGGTTTCAGCCCACATAACCCTCCTTAACAAGTCCTAACTCAAAGCGGACAGCTTTAAACTGTGCCAGGATCTGCAGGGAATTTCTTCCAAATCCCATCACAAAGGCTTGTCAGATTTTGTCAGATTTGGCCAGGTGTTTGACTGCATCCAGGTGTTGGGGAAATGAAAACCACGAGTCCTGCGAGACCAGACACATCAGCCGCGCTGTGGGTCTGGCGGGCGCACCCTCCTCCCCGACCGCTGGCCGGTCCTCCTCCCCTCCCCAACTCCTCCCGCCTGCCTCCTCTCACCCCCCTTCTCTTAGAACGGCTTCTGGGAGGAGAAGGATGAGGCGGGAGAGATCAATCTTTGAAGCTTTCCTAACAAAGATAAAGCCAACGATTTTCTGTCTTGTTTCAAAAGCTTTACCTCTCCCCCGCCTTTCTCTGGCTTTTCCCACAGGCCAGTGTGGAGCAGCTCTATCACAGGAATGAATCTAGCAGACAGCAGTCAGTTTTATACTCAAGTAAATACCTTCAGACCCAGTCTCGGCCCCAGAGGGAGAGGTTTAAAAGATACCTTAAAATTTGGCTCCTACTTGCCTTATTTTGTGTATAAGAAAGGTGTCCAACACACCCTCTGCTAAAGAAACACACGCACACCCTTCTTTATCATATTTTTCCATGTTTTCCCTCTTGTTTAAATGCAAACATAATAACAATTGCTCTATTATGACACCCAACCCAAGCTCAAATGCTTCATTTGGTAAGCCTGTCTGTCCTCTGGACCCACTAAGAGTCCTTAACTGAACTGGTAGAAATAATCTACACATCAGGGTCTCATTCTATAAAAGTGATTCCTTTTACATTGGTGTTCTTTAAAATTGACAGGGGAAAAAAAGTACAACCTCGACACCAACAAAAAATTAATTTTTTGTCTTTCCCTATGCTAAAGGGGAACGACTAAAAAAGTGCATTTTTATTAATATCACCAAAAGTACATTGCTGTCTTCCCGGGGAGGAGGAATAAATCGAAGGAAAAGAAGTAAACACTTGTTGTTTTGAAAATAATTGCTGGTTTGAAAAGAACACTCTTCTTTTTCCCTAAAATCTGGGTTCAGACTACTAGAAGAGGCATTTGTTTCTGTACAATATGAGGAGGGGGTGGCGACCCTAGGTCCCAATGGAGACTTTCAGGTTCTTGTCCAGGCTGTGTCACTAAGCTCACTGTGTCACCTTGGGTAAGTCATTTCCGGTCTCTTGGAAATTTCCAAGTTCGTAAGATGGGTGGATTTATTTCCCGAGACACTATACACTCTCCTGCACTCTGGTTGTTTCTGGAGTAAGTAGCTGCGGGAAAGGTGTAGCTTTAAAGACCACTTCTATCTTGGCTGCCTGGAGGTCCCTCCAGCCTGGCATAATCACAGGGCCTGGGGGCACACACAGCAGCCCCTCCCTCTTGCCCCCGGCAGTGCTGATCGCTTTGGGAGATAAGGCACAGCTCCAAGCCCTGGGTCCGGATGCGGGCCCCGGACTCGGCTGCCGCGCGCATTAGCCTCTCAATGCAGACCTTCCGGGGCCCGGGCCCCCCGCCGTCTCCAGCAGCATCCGGAGCTGGAAGGGCGCTGAACTGGAAGCCGGGGGCTCTTCTCGGTCAACACTCGAGCCTTTTCTAAGCGGTGCGTAAGCATGACTCAGGGGCTCGCCCCCTCCCCCACACGTGTTTCTGGAGCGGGGACCCAGGGGTTTAACTGGACCCCCTCATCGTCACCACCGTCCCGGGAAACCTGTCATTAAGGCCAATTAACTTTTCCCACACCCCTTGGCCGGTAACAACCCGCTGCTAGCTTCCTCCCCGGCTCCTAAGTGCAACCAGATGGGCGGACGAGCTGCCCCCGCCGCGCGCCCGCCGAGGCGGCTCGGGGGTTCCCGGGAGGTA